AGCGCAACACGACTAAACTTGTTTAGCGACGTGGAACGATAAAAAACAGGACGTCATAAAGACAAAATAGAATGACTTCCTGCGCGCGTTAAGTTTATGGAACACTTCTTTATTCTCCTATATATTGCATTACATTGACATCCATTACAACTGTTCATTTTGTTAATAACAATGACACGTGAAACGTTACTCTAAAGGCTACATAGCTGATTTCTCCGGATTCGTCAAGAATATGGAAACTTCAGATTACTGGATTCGTTATATCGTTTACATGCAGATCCCCGACGCGGGGCACTGCCTGACCTTATTTGGCCCCATAAGTGGGTTTGTACCGCTGAACAGTGTATGGTTTTCTTTCACAATCTTGAGTGTTGAACAAGGTATACATAAATTGTCGTTCTTGAAAGGAGTGTCTTTTTTGACCGGAAGCCTTTCCAAAGAATTAATGCGACGGTTCGCGATGAGTTCAGTCTATGTACTACAAACAATGTTTATTCCAAGACAACTAATTTCATAATGTTATTTTGAAAATATTTCTGTTCTGTATGCAAGAAAAAGAACGAATTAGGGTCATAAAATAGGGTCTCTTTTGTTAAACAGGGTTGCAAAATGAACGATTTTTGTCTTTAACCGGGGTCAGGGTTTGAAGGCGCGCCTCGGCGGCACACCTCTACCAAAACGTCTCTTGTGTACCTCACGGAACAGAGTGTCTCAATGGGGTGGTAGCTTTGACGATTGACGGTTAATTTTAACTAATTTTTATGAGTGACGGTGAAATTTTAAATCCAAAATAAAGAAGTAATAAAGAAAGAAAGAAATAAGTAATGATTTGGAGGTAGCACATCCACAAAATGGTTCTTCATCTGGCCTGATTCCTAGTCGAATTGGAATTTGGAAATGTTGGTTTTTGAGGAGAGGGGAAAACCGGAGTACTCAGAGAAGAACCTCCCGGAGCAAAGGAGAGAATCAACAACAAACTCAACCCACATATGGCGTCGACGCCGGGATTTGAACCCGGGCCACATTGGTAGGCGCTAGGAGGCGAGTACTCTCACCACTGCGCCATCCCTTGATTCGCAAAACCAAAAACTTTTGACGGTTGACGATTCTTGAGAATCGTTATTGAGTCCAAAAGTTAAATTAAATATCAACTTCGTTATTGCCCCCGCAGGCATTAAGCCCAGAAGGCGAAATCTCGAGGAGGTACTCTAGTAACTCAAGCGTATATTAAGGAAAGTACTTACAGATGAAATGTACAGTCAGTATGCCAGAAAAAATCTCGATTTGCTTGAACAGGGGCCGCGAGGAATCGGTAGGTAATGATGACGTTTGTATTGTTTGCGCCCGCAATTACGAAATGGTTAGGATGACGTAAAGACAGAAAATCCCCAAGGGGCCGCCTTTGTCACAGGGTCCTGAGAAGTTTCGTGTGAATAAATGAATTACTTATTTTAAGTCTCACCTTGAAAAATGTCTATACCTGTCACTTAGCACGATTAATTAGCCCAGTGGGATCTTTATGAATCTACTGTAAACGATTTCTTCGCTTCTTATCTGACGCAGATCGACTTTGTTGTTCGCCGTCGTTCGCCGTTTTGAAAATCAATAACCGCAAGCCATATCCTCGCTGGCCCACGGCACGTCGACAGAAGGGCGACCGAGGCACAAAGTGCCAATCTTGCGAGCCCTCAGTCTCTTGGTTTACGGTATATAGAATGTGTAACGACGAAACTGTAACGCGATCAAACTAACCCATTTTTTCAGAGGTTTTCAACGGGTTTTGATGTTCTAACGACAAACACATCTCCTTTGGACCCTGTGACAAAGCCAGACATGACAATTCATACCGATATCAGTGAAATAATTGGTAAGTGCAGACATGTCTTGACGCTTGAGGCATCTTTTAGCTCGGGGGGGTACTCAATAAATTTTATACGGGGAGGCTCCGCCCCGAGGTCCAACCTCTTACCCTTTTATAAACCATTTTTCACGGAAAAGGTACCCCTTTAGTATACCTTCTATTGACAAATGGTACTCCTTTCACATACCTTGTTTAGAACTTTGTATCCCTTTGAACTGCTGTAAATGCACTGTCTTTTAAATAGGAAACAATCACAAAAATTGAAAGTTTTTTCGATTTTATAAAGCTATAAACTTCATCTGTTAGCCCTTTGCCCTTTCGCAAACCCAAATGACATATTTCCCTACCCTTTCGTATGCTCCCACAAGTGAAATTCCTACCCTTTCATATACCTGAAAGCCTGAAAAACAAACTGCGGAGATCAATAGCAGTATATATTAAAAAATTTATATCATAAAATTGTGCT